ATGCCACTGCACTTCAGCCTGGGTGATGGGGCGAGACTTTCTGTCAAAATAAATAAATAAATAAATAAGTACAAATAAATAAAAGGAAAGAGAGAAACAACCTTAAGTAGGGATATCGGCTGGGCGCAGTGGCTCATGCCTATAATCCCAGCACTTTGGGAGGCCGAGTTGGGCGGATCACAGGGTCAGGAGATTGAGACCATCCTAGCTAACATGGTGAAACCCCGTCTCTACCAAAAATGCAAAAAATTAGCCAGATGTGGCGGCGTGTGCCTGTAGTCCCAACTACTCGGGAGGCTGAGGCAAGAGAATGGCGTGAACCCGGGAGGCGGAGCTTACAGTGAGCCGAGATTGCACCACTGCACTCCAGCCTGGGCGACAGAGCAAGACTCTGTCTCCAAAAAAATAAAAAAGAAAGAAAAAAAAAGGTAGGGATATCACACCAAAGCAAATAATAGAGTTGTCAATGTACAGAAAATGAAAAATGAAAAGTTTTTTTTGTTTTGGTTTTTGAGACAGAGTCTCACGGTATCACCCAGCCTAGAGTGCAGTGGTACAATCTCGGTTCACTGCAACCTCTGCCTCCCAGGCTCAAGTGATCCTCCTGCCTTAGCCTCCCAAGTAGCTAGGATTACAGGTGCATGCTACTGTAATTTTTGTATTTTAGTAGAGATGGGTTTTCACCATGTTGGCCAGGCTGCTCGTGAACTCCTGACCTCAAGTGATCCACCTACCTCGGCCTTCCAAAGTGCTGGGATTACAGGTGTGAGCCACGGCACCCAGCTGAAAAGTTATTTATTTTTTGTTGAGATGGAATTTCACTCTTGTTGCCAGGTTAGGGTGCAACATGGCATGATCTTGGCTTACTACAACCTCTACCTCCCGGGTTCAAGCAATTCTCCTGCCTCAGCCTCCCAAGTAGCTGGGATTACAGATATGTGCTACCACGCCTGACTAATTTTGTATTTTTAGTAGAGACAGGGTTTCTCCATGTTGGTCAGGCTGGTCTTGAACTCCTGACCTCGGGTGATCTGCCCTCCTCTGCCTCCCAAAGTGCTGGGATTACAGGCATGAGCCGCTGCGTCTGGCCAAAAAGTTATTTTTGAACGTGATCTGTGTGAAAATAATTCCCTATGGTATGACATATGATAGGCAGGGATGATGTATCTCAGAAATCATTCTCCTGTCTTGATATCCCATCAAATATCAATGCTTACATTTAGTGTTTAGATGTCCGGCAGGACATTCAAAAGTTGGCAGAGCTGTCTTACACATGCAGAACATCTATAGCATTCTTGCCTCCTCAAAGGTAATCATCATGGCAACTAAAAAAAAGGAAAAAAAACAACAAAAGAAAACCACCTCCAGAAATTTCTTAAAATCCCCTAGAGGGCGATACTATCCCTTAGCCTCAGAGCCATCCTGTTCAGCAGTTTCCCCTCCCTTCAGCCCCTGGCTCCAGGGTAGTAGAGTCTTTGTCTCTTAGAGTTGTGCAGTGATTGTGGGGCCCTGCTGGGAGGTGGGGAACCTCAGATTCCCATAGGTCATTTGCAACCCAAATGTCTGATGGGGACCGGCCTGTCTTCATAGGTGGCTGCCACACTCAACAATTTGGCTGTGCTCTATGGCAAAAGGGGCAAATACAAGGAGGCAGAGCCTCTGTGCCAGCGGGCACTGGAGATTCGAGAAAAGGTACCCATGCCCTCTCTCCCTTCTTCCTTTGTTGCTGTGACCCTTCTCTACATGGCTTCTCTGGTCTAACACTCCTCTTTCACTTTTTTTTTTCTCACCCCCATCTCTGCCTTGTTCTCTCTTCCTTCATTCCCATTCCTCTGCTTTCCACATGTGTGTGCCTACATGCAAGCAGACACGTGTGCTTGTGCACACACACGTAATCATAGCCATTTATCCACTCCTTTGTTCCCTTTCAGGTCCTGGGCACTAATCACCCAGATGTGGCAAAGCAGCTGAACAACCTGGCCCTCTTGTGCCAAAACCAGGGCAAGTATGAGGCGGTGGAACGCTACTACCAGCGAGCACTGGCCATCTACGAGGGGCAGCTGGGGCCAGACAACCCTAATGTAGCCCGGACCAAGAACAACCTGGTATGGGAGGAGGGGACAAAGTAGGTGGAATGAACGGGAAGGAGAGGCCACCTGGGTCCTAGAGTTAGGAAGCATCACAATCTGGCACACTGCTCTCATGAAGTTTGTGTCCATTTCTGGGGCTGCCTTTGCGGATGAAGGATCTGCTTCGTTCCGGTTATAGAAGCTCCACAGCTTCTTGAGAGTGGGCTGGGAATACCCTTGACCCTGCACCTGGAGAAGGAGGTGTGAGAAAGATCTCTGGGGAAAGTCACAGAGACACCGAGAAGTGGAACTCCCTGAGCCTGGTGAAGACGTTGTCTGGAAAAAAAAAAAGAAAAAAAGAAAAAAAAAAAAGAAGACCTTGCCTCCCTCCATGTTTTGTTCCTGTATTTTTGCCTTTCTGTCTTCTAGGCTTCCTGTTACCTGAAACAGGGCAAATATGCTGAGGCTGAGACACTATACAAAGAGATCCTGACCCGTGCCCATGTGCAGGAGTTTGGGTCTGTGGATGGTGAGTGGTGAGGGCTTGGGGAAGGGGCTGTGGGAAAGAAAAGAAATGCAGACCAAAGGTCGGGGGTTAGGCCACAGTGGTTCCCAGGGGGAGCCAGACCCCTTCAGTCCAGCCTGTCAGCCTCTGGGTCCTGGCTCTCCGACACTGTCTAGCTCTGATCTCTAACCTCCCCACCCCGTGTATCACCCCCAGATGACCACAAGCCCATCTGGATGCATGCAGAGGAGCGGGAGGAAATGAGCAAAGTGAGTGGGGGGAAGGGGGGCCAGCCTGGGGAGCTCAAGGCTACCAGGGTCTCTGTCTTACTCCTTCCATTAGCCCAACTCACACTTCCCACCCCAGCACCAGCCCCAGATGCATGGTGTCCTCCCCAGCCCAGCCTGCACCCTAGCCCCATGCCACTGTGCATCCCAGCATCTCTGTATTCTTATCTTTGGCTCTCCCTGCCCTTCTCTCTGGCCTGCAGAGCCGGCACCATGAGGGTGGCACACCCTATGCTGAGTATGGAGGCTGGTACAAGGCCTGCAAAGTGAGCAGGTGAGCTGCCAGTGAAAAGCCAGCTTGGCCTCCGATGCCCTCCATCCAGGCTCCCAGCCTCCCAGACCTTTTCCCTTCCTCCCGTAGACTTTCCCTGAGCTTTAGCTCTGTTCCCTCTCCTATTTTCTTATTTTTTTTTCCTCTTGTCTTGCTTGGAAGACAAATGTTTTCTTTTCTGAACCCATTCTCTCTTCCTTCTCCGGTCTGTTTCTCACCACAGCCCCACCGTGAACACTACTCTGAGAAACCTGGGAGCTCTGTATAGGCGCCAGGGAAAGCTGGAGGCTGCTGAGACCCTGGAGGAATGTGCCCAGCGGTCCCGGAGACAGGTCAGAAGCCCAGAGGGGAAGGAGGTCCTTGAGGGAAGGGCCCTGGGGATGAGAGACTGCTGAGGTTTCTTGGGAGTCTCCTAAGAATAAGCGGAAAGGCTGATGAGGCCAGGAGGGAGAGGAAAGTGAGGCAGTGTTGTGATTGTGGTTGTTTTTAAGCATGTTCTTACCCCCTACCTGCACTTTGTGGTCAGGACTCTAATTTCAAGATTCACTAAATGGGGATATGAAGGAGAAACCCTGCCCTTTCATAAGGAGGGGCCTGGGTGGTGTGGGTGAGAGGAGTGAGGTAGGGGAGAGCCTAAGTCAAGAATTTCTCAGATTGTGGGTCTCAATAGTAGGTTGTGAAATCAATTCAGTGTGGGCTATGGGGCTAAAAATATATACAGATCTATATATAGCAATGCATTGCAAATAGAAAAGGTGAGTATTGTTCCAGTAGGCATATACTGAGACATCACAAGGAAAAATGTTTTCCTTGCAGTGGCTGATGGTGAAAAAAATTTGAAAGCCCCATCCTGAGGAGTTAAGGAGTAGGAAGTCCCAGGTCCTTCCTTTTCCTTCCAGGGCACTGACCCTATCAGTCAGACCAAGGTGGCAGAGCTGCTTGGGGAGAGTGATGGTAGAAGGACGTCCCAGGAGGGCCCTGGGGACAGTGTGAAATTCGAGGGAGGTGAAGATGCTTCTGTGGCTGTGGAATGGTCCGGGGTAAGTCTGATCATTGCCTTTTCATCTCTCCTGCCCACTCCTGCTGGTGGTGGTGAGAGGCTCTTGGCTATGCTGTTCCAGTCTAGGTAGTGTATCCCTTCAGGGGTATCTCTGGGAGCAAGCTTTTGACCCGACTTTTATTTTCAGTCACTGGGCCTTGGGGGTGGGGGATGTGTGCAGAATAAATGCTGGGACTAGACTCAGAAACCCATCTGTGTGGGATCCCTGTAGCTTTCATTGCTCACCCCTTTCTGCCAGGATGGCAGTGGGACCCTGCAGAGGAGTGGCTCTCTGGGCAAGATCCGGGATGTGCTCCGCAGAAGCAGTGAAATCCTGGTGAGGAAGCTCCAGGGGACCGAGCCTCGGCCTTCCAGGTACACATGGAAGTCAAGATATGGCAAAGTGGCTGGGTGCTGTGACTCAAGCCTGTAATCCCAGCACTTTGGGAGGCCGAGGCGGGTGGATCACTGGAGGTCAGGAGTTCGAGACCAGCCTGGCCAACAAGGTGAAACCTCATCTCTCCTAAAAATACAAAAATTAGCCGGGCGTGCTGGTGGGTGCCTGTACTCTCAGCTACTTGGGAGGCTGAGGCAGAAGAATTGCTGGACCTGGGAGGTGGAGGTTGCAGTGAGCTGAGATCATGCCATTGTACTCCATCCCAGGCGACAAAAGTGAAACTCTGTCTCAAAAAAAAGAAAAGAAAAAAAAAAGATATGGTAAAGCAGGCAAGTAAAGTAAGCCCTTGCCTCCAACTCCTCTTGGCCCCTGATCTCTGGAGAGGTATCTTGGAGAGAAACAGGGAGGAAGTCAATGGGACAGCCATGGAGAGAGAGTTTGGGTAGAATGGGTGCCCCAACTTGGAAGATGAAGGTAGCTGAGATACTGGTTCCTGATGCAGATAAGAAAAGTTGGGGGAGGGGATAGAGGGGAGGCAGTGATTTGATTTTGTGTGGCAGTGCTCAAGAGGCCCACAGCTTTAAGGCCACTCAGGAGGAAGAGAGGAGGCCTCAGTTCTTCCATTTTCCATTGTAGCAGCAACATGAAGCGAGCAGCCTCCTTGAACTATCTGAACCAACCTAGTGCAGCACCCCTCCAGGTGAGAGCAGTGCTTGTGAGCATATTGGTGGGTGATGAAAAAAGAACAGCCAGTGAGCAAGCCCAGTGGAGTAAGGGAAGTGGGGAGAGGAGTCATCTGGGATAATGATGAGCCAGGGGATTGCAGTTATTAAGGAATCAGGCAGATAGCTTGTGGTGAGTGATGACCACCAAAGGACAGTTTCAGGCCAGACATAGTAGCAAATAAGTTAATAAGGAGGGAAATAGGAATATTCTTTAAACTGGTACTTTGGAATTATGAATAATTTAAGAATTATTTGGAGATACTCATTTTTTCATCTTCATAGTAGATGAGAATGGAAAAAGAAAAGTATTAAATAATCCCCATCTGAGAAAACAGTAATGATATTTTAATGGCAAATGACTTCTTATATGAACACACTCAGAGTATATGCCAGTATTCATGTGGTTCTTCCAGAGAGCTTCTCCACCAGATTGTGGCCTTCTGGAAAACCCTAGCAGAGGCTAAACAAAGTCCCAGGTCCAGAGATAGACTGGTCCAGAGACGGATGTGATCCTAGGTCCAGAGATACACTGTGGCCATTGGATGGATGGACTCCAGGAGACAGTCTTTGGGAGGCTGAGGTCCCTGAGCTGATGGGGTAGTGTTGTCTGTTTCAGGTCTCCCGGGGCCTCAGTGCCAGCTCCATGGACCTCTCTTCAAGCAGCTGACATTCAACCCAGTCCCCAGGTCTGCTGGGTCCCCCTACCCCTATAGCCCTCACAGCATTCCCCATTGCTCCTGGCTCTTCCCCACCCCTAGGTGGGACAGTGAAGGGGAGCAGTTTAACCAGAAGATTGCTGCTGCCCTTAGGGTTTCAGCTCCCTCCTCAGGAATCCCTCTTAGGAAGGACCCTCAGGACACCCTCTCCGCACCCTGTGGTCCTCTAGAGTAGCTAGCTCTGAGGCCCCCAAGGTGGGTACAAAGCAGGTATGGCCCTCAGAGATGCAGCCTGCTGCTGGCTTTTCAGTCAGAGGGTTGAGGGCTGGCCAGCCAAGCTGCCTTGCCTTGGCCGCTCTTATTCCCTCCCTCTGCTGTCTCACTTCAGGTCCATGTATTTCACTTTTCTTAAATAAAAGAATCAGGTAACCTTTCTGCGACTTGAGTCCTGATTGAAGAGGGTATGAAGCAGGGCTTGTGTTGGGGCCCTTCACAGAGGGTGAGGGGCAGTGATGGATGGGGCAGCAGGAGGAGTGTTGATTCTTGGATCTCTCTTCTCTTCCTCCCCTTGTTTGTATCATCTCCAGCAGGGCCTGTAGGAAGGCATCTGGGGGATGGGGAAGAAGGAGGCCCACAACCCAAGGAAAAGGTGCTGTGGACTGGGTTGTCAGGGACATGTGGTGGCCATGTGGCAGGACCCTGGAGTCCTGGCGCCACTTCTCCTGGCTGTGAGGCCCTCTGTGGCTGCCATTCGTTCTCCCAGCTGCTTGGGGGAAGGGAGGACTAAGCAGGCCTGGGGGGCCCTCCGGAGCCAGAGGGGAGACAAGGCACTATCCATCCCCTCTCAGCATATCTTGGAGGCCTGAGCAGCAGCTGGGGCCCATCTTCTAAAGCTTGACTCCTCCTGACCCGCCTCCTACACCCCTTGCTGCTTTCACAACAAAGAAAGAATGTGGGGGTGGTGGCGCGGGGGGTGGGGGGTGCCTGGAACAAGGGTTGTGCTGGGCCTCCCCACAGCTGGAGACTTGGCCATACCCTGACACAGCCCAGACTGCCTGGAGATGGACTTGGGATGAATTTGTCAGTTTAGCAGCCTTCAGCCTGGCTTTCAGAACTCAGCGTGTTTCTACCTTTGGGTTCAGATTGGTCTAGAGCCAAACCAGACCCCAGTTATGCACCCTTCAGCCCCTCTCCGGGCTACACAGCATCTTCAGGTTACTCTGCTGGGGGACATTAAGGACACCGTGCTGTTCTGGGTCTGCCTGTAAGATTTTGGGTTGCTGAACAGTGGGTGGGGCCCACCTCTTCCGCTGCCCCCACTTGGAGAATTCTGGGGGAACTGTTGGCCAGAGCCTCCAGGTATGCACAGAATGGGCCATTCTCCCCAGGGTCCACGGCATCTCACAAGTCACTTAGGTTCTCCCGGATCCCTGCAGAGTCAGTGGTAGGTACAGCAAATATGCCCCTACCCCTCTCAGGTCCCCTGCGCTCTCCTGAGCCTTGCTCTCTCTGTTCTCCATCCCTCTCCAGACCCCTCCCCCTACTGAGCTCCTCCCCGCCTTGGCGAGGAGGGGGCGTCGAGGGGGCGGGGCG